GGTGACTGATAGATAACGCCATTTTCTATGCACTACGGAAAAAATTCACTCTAGTATTATAAGGATGGAACACGGGGTTATTCCGGCGATAAGAAAGAGCATCCTTGATAACCACGAATTGACCCGAATAACATCATGTTCCATCCTTATAATACTAGAGTGAATTTTTTCCGTAGTGCATAGAAAATGGCGTTATCTATCAGTCACCGAGAAAATTCACTCTACTATTATAAGGATAAAACATGGTGTTGTTCGGGCCATATGAAAGAGGGTCTCTACAAACCCCATAATCGGCCCGAACAATACTATGTTTTGTCCTTGTAATAGTGGAGAAAACCTTTCCTGATTCATTTTTATACTTAAATTTCCCATATCTTGAAATTCAAGGATCTCTGTCCAGGCATGCCATACGCAGCTAATATTTTAAATTCGTTAGTTTCTCGGTGAAAGTGATCTTTTGATAACAACCGGATCATCCAATTCGCTTATCAATACAAACCCTTCCATTGTCAGGGATTTAGGAGGGTCGAACATTTTGTTCTGTTTTTCGAAGAAATGGTCTATGCCATTCGATCCAGGGTAGAATTTTAATTCGTCGCAAGTGAAAATTTTCATAAATGAAAGTCTTTGGAAAACGCTCAAGGTCGTTTTCCTCGATGCTATTTACCTAGCTTTTGACAGTATATGCCACTTTCTGTATCCAACGTACCCTTTTTTTCTTCCTAATTTTTTTTTACCATTTTATAGAGAATCAAAAGCTACACAACATATAAAAAATTCAGTCTGGGTTCTGATGTTTTCGATAAATGGCAGCAAATATACCTCCAAAAGTCTGACGTTATCGGCGGGTAATCTGTTACCTTTTTTCATTCATGTTAGTCCAGTAAAGGAATATTAAATATTCCTTTATTTTGCTTCGTGAAGTATAGTCACATTTTTCATTTTGATATCGTTACATTCCTTGTGCATCTGCCTCTCTAAGTCGATAAGAGAGGAATGATGGCAGAGGTAATTAATAATGGTCCTAATAATGATCATCTTTCCGAAAACGAATATGAAATACTGGAACAAGGTTATATATCAAATGTTCAGGTGGGACTTATATCAAGGTTTTTATCGGAATGTCCGGAAGCTGCTTTAAGTGTACACAAGTTCCTGCAGATAAATTATTCTAAGTCAAATCAGCAACAACAAATCGTGCAACCAGTGAATTCTACTCCTAAGCGTGGACATCCTCTCGATGAAAGTGGAGGCTCGATCTACAATAGAAGGGGTCGTCGTAAATATCCTCGAAAAGGTATCGACAACAATGCACAAAAGCATTCGCATAATGTACAACAAGAAATTAATTTACAACCACAGCAACCATCGTCCCCAATGTTGTCAGGTGAAAGACAACATCAAGAGATAAATCATGCTAGTAAGAATCGTAAACGAATTGCTTTTAGTCAACTGAAGCACACTGTAAAAAAAAAGCGTAGAATAATAAACCCTTTAAGGGTTTATGAAAGTGCAACGAATAATATACCCTTTTTACCGTATGTTACACTTTTCATAAACCCTTTCATAAACCCTTTGGA